AATACTGATATAGTTTCCACCTCATTATCAGTGCTAAATTCCACGGAATAAGAAAATCCTTTAGTTCGAGGATAATGTGTAATGACATACAAACAATCCGTATCGGTGAGAAAACTTTTTCGAATATTTACCATTGAATGAGAATTCTTCACCTGGTTTTGCTTCGGCTATTTTGGTCTCTAAAGAGTCATCATCATATAAGACTCCTCCATAACCATAATATTTATTCCCAGAATTGTAATCATTTATTAAACCAAGAAGACGTCCCGTTTTCCAGACTGAATCGGCACTCAACGGATTTCCATTCTTTACAAAATGTTTATGATATTGTAAAATATCCTTGTTTCTTTCCAATCTTGTTGGTTCAGTTGTTATTATCGACTGGCGACCCAATTCATCATAAAGAAATTGTTGAATTATGACTTGATTTTTATTTCCAAAATGACATCTTGGTCTTTTTCACCAAATGCATTATGATAAGTGATCTTCATCCTAGGATTTTTCATAACTACAACGTTGTAAACAATTTATTTATTATGGCGGTAATATTATATCCACAGGATTCTCAGACAGCAAATCTTGATCATAGTACAAGTTACCATTTATCCAGATAAAACAATGACCATTTTCCATAATCCACAATAGTTCACCATTAACAGGAATATTATATGCTTTTGGTGATGAATATATTTTTAATTCTGAGTTGGTTATCTCAAATAAATTTGAAAATATTAATTTACCGCCACCAGTACTGGAAGGTCTGAAGTCAAATTTAAGCCTAATACCAAAAGAAGCATGATTCAAGTTTAAAATAATATCATCAGAAGTGTTGCTGAAGTGAATAATTTGACCAGGAGCAACACCCCAATTATTTGAATTGAATATCGTCCACAAACCGTCAAATGATGTTGGTGAAAAATCTTCAACAAATCCACTTTCTGGTTCGATCAGAATTTCGGGAAGAACGTTTATCTAAACTTTTGCTTCTAGCTTGAAATTTATCCAGAATACCATAAGCGTTAACATGTGCAACATTGTCCTTTAGAACATCATAAAAATTGCGAGACACCAAACCATTGCTATGAATTACAGCTGATATTCTGTTGTTATCATAAACATTTATCTCAAATTTACTATCAATAGGTAGTAGACGTATATGATCGATATCTAAAGTCATATATAATCCAGAAGTTATAGTTAATGTCATACCTATAAAATTCGATGCATTTCTGTTGTAGTCTGTATTATTTACGATGATATTATCTAAAATAGATTTAGCATAAGGATATTCAATAACACTTTCCAAATAAAACCAATCACCAGATTTATACTTTGCCTCGGATAATATGCCATAAAAATTGTACCCACTTGAGTCAGTCAAAGCAACTTTAAAGTACGGAGTGATTTCTCCTAGGATAAAAGTCGTGTTGTGTGGACGAACCCAGCAAGATGAAATAAATGTTAAATTTTGATTTCTTGGTTGAAATGATCCACTGAATACACCCTCATCTAAGTGTAAGTAATTGGAGCCTGTGTATGCAAAAGAATCTTTGACGATATTAGTTTATTAAATATCCACTTCTTACCACCGTTGATGGTAATTTCATCTTTCTCGTAATCTTCAAAGCCAAAATAACCAACTTCTTCATCGTCCAGTTTGTTTGGATAAAATTGTGCAATTTCAACACTTGAATACTTATCCGTCAAGGTTGAATTAATAAGCAATTTAGCATTTTCTTCTACTTTTTTCTGCTGTTCTTTTCCTTTTCATCAGAATCAGCACTTCTAGTTATTTGTTTAACAAGACGGCCACGTGCGCTGTATACATTCTGATAAGACTTATCAGCATTTTGCATATCAAAATATTTTTCTGTTAATCCGAATTTTATTCGATCGTCGCCAGGTATTTCTTTGGATTTTTTATAGTAAATGGTACCAGCTAAGTAATCCGAACTGGTAGGATCATATTCGTAACCAGTTTTTCTAATTGACCCATCGTCGGGAGTTTAAAACTAACTGGTTAACAACCGCGTTCTTTTCGTTAGCTTTTAAATTTTTAAATACCAACGAAGAAACATTTACTCTTTTCTTGTCTTCAATTTCGGTTATGATAAAATTATAACTGCTCCAAGGTGAATATTTCTCATTCAGGAGGAAACGCGTATTTATTTATAATATCATCTCCGTTCTTATTGAACTCAATAATTTGCGTTGCATTTTTGTAATCGGTATAAGATATATACTTAGGATATTTTATATTTATATTTTGTATGTTATCAATTTGTAAATTAGCTACAAACACATCATTCATGTTTGTTTGCGGTATAATGCTACCTGTGATTTTGAAGTTTTTGTTTAAGTACAAAGTGAGAACCTAATTTACGAGAGGTATCTTCAGTTTTATGATTTTGCGTGTCCTGTTTCCAATCATCGCCAGTAAATTGATAGATTGTACTGTTAGCAGCTACATAGTTTGATGCCAGTTCTGCTAAATAAGGCGATAAATCTAATATAAATTCTTTATTCTTTTGGATGTCTGTGGTTATATTGGCTTTAGTTTCTTTAATTATATCATCTACTTGCTTATTAATTTCTTTGGCATGTCTACGATCGTCCTGAATACTTTTCGTACGCTCTTTTTCTAATTCATCTATAAACTTTCCTCTAATATTTTACAAACGACTTTATAAACTCTTTTTATCCATTCTAACCCAAACGTGATAGTATTTCCATCATCTGTCGTCATCTCCTTAGATAGCATTTGGAGATTATCTTGTTTAACGGTAAAAGTTTTATATTTTGCTATACTTTTGTTGCCATCGAAGACAAATGTATAAAGATTTGTGTACATTTGTCCATTGTGCAAACTCCAAGAATACAAGAGTGCAATATTGTTTGAAAATTGCAAAGAATTTCGCATAAAAAAGCCTTTTATATCACTTTTTGTAATATCTTTAATATCAAACATATCAATCGTTCCAACCATATTTGAAATCACATTTTTAACTTGTAAAACATTTTTAAAGTTCCAGTTGTCGTGAACATCTTTATAACCAAAGTATAAAGAGTTATCATCGTATACTACGAATTTATCATTGTTAACTGCTAAATACATATATTTTTTATTAGTATTATACTCACGAACTATTTGCCAATTCTTCTGAATTTTACCTTCAATAATGATAACTTTAAATTCTTTGGCCACAACTAAGAAATTACTTCCAAATATTGTCAAATCATTAGTCGAATATCTGAATTTTTGTGAACCCTTAGGCCAAGTTCCATTGGATTGTTTTTGAAATATATAAATTTCCTTATAATTCTCATAAAAAGTTGTCAGGGCAAAATAATCATCGCCTTGAGCTGGAATATAACTTTTACAGTTTTTAGATGTTATGGAAGTTGTCATAAGTTGAGTCATTTCTGGACTGAAAACAGTGATGACCAAGTTTTCGTTGCCTTTTATATAACTGACTGCTATGAAATCATTTCCATATAAAATTCTAAGATCGTTCTGCACTTCAAACTTAGTCAATTCCTGGTGCTGAAATGCTTGCAAGTTTTTATATGCATAATTAACCATCAATCCATTAGGAAGTACAGCCGATTTTATCATCCATATTTCGTTGATTTGTTCATATTGGAAACTTAAGATAGGGGACTTTACATAATCATCAGATTGTGAAATACTTGATAATAACCGTTTATCATTTTGGACTTGGTAATGGAAAATTATAGTTTGATCATATATTTTTGTTTTCAAATTATATGATGATAAATATTTTGTTTGAACTCTGGCTGGATTTATTCCATCTTTGCTTATCACCTCCGGTAAAATAAATTCTGTTTTAATGCGATCATTATAGTGAAAAGTGATAGAATTGCCTACATTATCATCAACAGACTTCAAGTAAATTTCTCTTGTATATTTAACACCAGATCCTGGAATTGTTATATCAACTGAATAGTAGTTATAATTTATAATGTTTTTGGATTCTTTAGACACATCAGCACATAAGTACCACTGCTGAGGTGACCTCAGAATAGATTTCACATCTGTACCAGTTCCTCGATAATTTTTCCAATTAGCAGTCCATGTAATAGCATTACAATCGTGGCCTAAATTAGATTTACCATAATGATGTTTAAATGCTGGTACATCTAATTCCCAGGCTTCGTTCTTGATTGTGTACTTCGCAGTGATTTTTTTATCATGATTACTTTTGTCTTCTATATAGAAGTAAAGTATTTCTGATGTTGATAAGGTGTTATCTTTTTGAAGAATTTGAGGGTTTCCACGATAAAACCAATAATAGTTGTGATCTTCCGGAAAAACGCTATTAGAGTCATATAGTGCTATATAACTCATTTCAGTATCCCATCCAACTCCTACTGCAGTGTTAGCATTATGGACGTTATAATTCAAATTCCAAGAATCTAGTGGAGCATTTAATTTAACCAAAGATAATTGAATTTCTGGTTTTCCAGTTAAAATGTCCACGGATTTGTAAAACGGTTGTACATCCAATAGATCCCGTAGAAGCACAATTTCTTTGATGTTCTGCTTAACAACAATTTTTGGTGCTACAAATGATTTGTTCTTGTGCTCGGGTAATAGATCAATATCATGATTATATGTTGGCAATTCCTCAGAAAGTTCATCATACTTCAAGTTGGAAATGTATACTTTGTTATCTTTGGCAACAAGTACATCAGACAAAAAACTGTTATTCGAGATATGGGTGATCTGTAACACTTTGTCGCAACTAGAATCTGCATTTAAGTCTTTGTCAAAGACATCATAAAACATATTAGAGTAATTATTATACGTGAAAATACTAGGTCCAAATGGACCAGTTAGTACTAAATCATCGAGTCCATCGATGTCGACATCTGCAATTATGGCATTATCCAAATTATGTTTACCAAATCCTCTATATGTTGAAAGTATTGAATTATAAACCGCTTTTTCGTATTTATTAGTTTCATATTTATACATGTGAATTCCCGCATCATTTATATGGATTATATCTTTTGCTGCTGAATTAGTCACGTTGGCAAAAAATATTTTGTCAAATGATGATTTGCGTTGGCAGCAATTTAAGTTTAGGATCTGATAAATTTTACTATCTGAAAAAATAATAAAATAACCTGGCGTAAGTCCAAGCATTGCATTTTGCTACAAGTTTTTTTTAATTCCTTGAGTGCTTGATCAACCACAATATTATATTATATTATATCTTGCATTGCAAAGTACCAGACCGAAAAAAATGGGACTTTGATTTGTCAAAATATATTTAAATTAAACCATATTCTCATGGAAACAGATACTTGAAAATAAATGAGAATGAAAAACATCTACGCCCTCAATCAGACATAAATAAGATCTATAATGTTTATAAATGCCTAACAATATATAACTTTTTTCTTAATTATTCATGCTTTTAATCAATTTGAAAAACAAAAGTATTTAAACAACATAAATATTGTTTTTGAATAATCAAAATATAATTATTTTTGCAACTTTCATTTCATTATAAACCTTAAAAATAACGTGTAAGAATTCAATTATTCCTAAAAGTAATTTAAAAATTGATTGTTGAAGATATTAGTCATTATCACCATCTTTCAGTATAAATGAAATGTTTAATCTTAAATTAAATATTATATCAAAGCTAAATTATTATTCTTATCTTATCTCAACATGTATTTTTATTTATAACATATCCCAAACAAAATAAACGACTTCTGAAATTTATGATTCGTAAATAGTGAAAATTCATATAGAAAGATTTTAGACGATCATTTCCTATTCTATATAAAGATTGAAAAGATTTTATTTGAATCTTTGTATAATGATAAACTTGTTACAACTTTACACATAATTTTTTCAAACAAGAAATAGTGTGAATTTTTCAAAAAGGACAAAAAATACATGTCATAACATATATATGTTGCATAAAAATGTTAAACTTACATCTAAATAACGAACAAAGTGAGTTATCTAGACACAAGTAATAATTATTATTAAAAGAAATTGAACAAAGAATTTTTTTGGCTCTATAAAAGCAATGCGGTCTGCAGATCATGTTAATGTAGGAAACCCACTTATTGCAATAATGTAAACTTGTTCCAACAAACATACTTCATCTTTCACCCTTTGGACCTTTTCTAAAAATCAGTATGAACCATACTGTTATGACTATCTCCCCCTACTGACCAAAAATAATTATAAAAATTAACAATAAATTATTACCTTTATCAATTTTGAAAACAGCAATTCCTTTTCCTGATCTGACAATGAGCTGATCTTGACCTGCTTTAAATAAGTCGTGCACTAACAGTTCGTTATTGGAGTTTGTCAAAAATTCAGTAATAAGGGTATAATTCGCTTTTACAGGAAATACAGATGGCTGTTTCTGCATCAATTTCTCCTTCATGACACCGTAAAATTTGGGCTCTTTGCTTTTTAAGGACGCCACTCCAAGAATTGAAGAATCAGCAAAGAAGCGTCCAAATACGATTTGGGAATCAACCTAAGGAAAGGAAATATGGAAATTTAGTAGTAATTAAATTTTAAAAATTTCAAAGAATTTTTATTATAGAAGATTTATTTACCTTATCCCAGCCAAGTTGGTCGCGGAATTGGACTTCAGTATGGATATGATTCACTTTACCATTTTTGTATTCGTAGAAGTTCATCCCATCTTTACTTTTAACAATTGCTATATCATTATTTGTTTTGAAAATGTCGGCAAAATATATTTGTGATTTTTTCGACACCTGGAAATAAGAACAAGTAACATGAAATAAAACTAGCAGTACATGGCATCGTGCCTTACGGCAAATTGCTGGAACTTTCCTTGGAAATGTTCGAAGAATATTAAATGTTTTTAAATAGATTATTATAAATACTGTAACTTATATATGTTCACAGAAAGGTAGACAAACAAAATTTAATCAATCGAATTTAAAACGAAGGACATAGTCTAATATTTATAAGAATTATATAAACTGAATTGCAATGTTTATTTAAAGTATATAAGTGAGCTTTAAAACTTTATTAAACATTATTTTTGTTATATTATTTTGATATGCTCATGACAAAAATTTAATTATCATTATAATTTGTACAGTTTCTATAAAACTATGATCATTGTACATTTTCGAAATTCCAAAAGTATTTTTTTTAATTCTTAGTAAATCTTTAACAATTACCTTATCTGCAGATATAAGTCGTATTTCCATATACTTCGGTTTCCCAGTACGTTCATCATATTGGATCCCTTGTAAAATTCCATCTTTGGACAAAGAATAAAATTGTAAAGATTTGTCTTCAATAAAATTGGATTTTGACAAAGGTCCTTCCAATTTTGGCGAAATTGTCAATTCAATTTTATTTTCGCCATATCGAAAATAATCCAAATCCACGTCTAAGTTGTTCTCTAAATCTCGAAAATCCATTTTAAGCTGTTATTTGTGCCATTATTATTAAACACAAATGCTAAAAGATAATTTAATAAATTAAATAATAAATAAATTATTAAACACTATATATTTGTTGTTCTCTCACAACAGGTCGACATGGTGATTCATCTTTTTTGAGAAAATTCACAATTTCAATGATAAATTCAAGCTTTTCTTTCCAGTCACTTGCAAATAAATATTTAGATATCACTTAATGATAATTTTTAATAATATGTATTACAATTTAAAAATTTAAATTAAAAACAAATATACTTTATTTTGATGTTGAAACTACTCTAATTGAGATTTTTCTTCAGCCAAATTGTCGAAAGGATAAATACTTTCATTATCTATTTTGTACCTTTGTCTTACTAATGTGCACTTTCAACGTCCAAAATGAATATTGGTAACTTGCAGAACTTTCACAAATATTTAGATATTTCAAATTTAATATAATAGTTAAATTTTAAATATAATTCAAGTTGAAATTAATATCACAACTGCTCTCTTCGGAGTTGTTTGTGCTGAATGAGCAATTTATCTCTTTTACTGGAAAAATTATGATGTGCAAATATATGTATTTATAATTATATTGTGTTCATACAAATATTTTTATATATATATATATATATATATATATATATTTGGTGATATCATTACTTAAAATTGATTTTGGAGCTGGACGAGTATCTCAATTTGTACATTTTTACTAGATTAGATATATGTAATTAGATAACACATAGTCGATAGATTACATAATATACATACATAAGATCACATAAATAATACAAAAATTAAAATTAAACGAAAAATCGCCTAAAAAGAAGAATTCTTATCATTAGTTTTCATCATTCATTAAAAACATCTAGAGTTTGACGCATTTTCAAATACAATTTTCGTACAATTTTATGTTTAACGAGATTCCAATTTAGAAAAAATGTAGTTTCACAAGGAAATTGTGAATTTTTAAAAAATTGAAGCAAATAAAAAATTGTTGAAATCTATAAAAAATGTATTTATTAGTTCCTAAAAAAATGTTTAATTAAATTGTATTTATAATAGCTCCTGATAAAGCAGACAATTCATATCTCCAAAATGCAGAATAAAATATACGAAAAATTAAATAATTTTTTTTTGAGAAAAATAATCAGGAAAATTAATATCATAAAAACAAATATAGCTATGTAGAAAAACCCCAACAGATATAGGTAGAGTCTTGGATTTGTAAATATTTTGTAGAACTTCTAACAAAAAATCCAAGAAGTAATAAAAAATAAAAAAGTTTTTGAAAAACCATTTCTTTATTTATTTACTGTCGACGTTTCGGAACTAGTTGCGTTCCATCTTCAGAACATCTGTTAAGAAACATGACTACCCTGAAAACCATAAATTCTGTTTTTTCAGTAACCTTTTTTTAAAACTTTCTAAAACTATCTAATTTTTTAACATTTTCAATATTTTGTTATATAATCCACTCATTTATTTTTATCATTTTCATTTTGATTTTATTGTCATAGTTCTTTACATTATTTTTTCCACAATTTTATATAAAAAAATCCACCATATTCTGCTTTTCTTAAACAAATTGAAACGGCGATAGTAAATAAATAAAAAAAAGTTTTTTTAAAAAACTTTTTTGTTTTTTATTACTTTTTGGATTCTTTCTTCGAAGCTCTATAATATATATATATATATATATATATATATATATATATATATACATATATATATATATATATATATATATATACATATATATATATATATATATATATATAAAATTTATATTTTTTCCGGTTTGACGAATGTTTTAGCGCGATTAAAACAAATTGATAACATTTTAGACAGAATTTATCTTTTATCAACATAACATAAATAAATAAAATACAGCTTATGTATTATTCATAAACTATATTTAGTATATTTCCCTCACCTCAATATTTATTCAGTATATATTCCACAGATGAAATTTTTTAGATGATAGTCGATGCAGTCAAAATATTTTTGCATAGGTTTATTAGTATATTATATAATATTTCTGATCGTTTTATCAGAAAAATAAAAGTGCCTGTTATGAAAATAGAAGAAATTTTAACTAAAACTATAATGAAAAAATACATCCTGTAAATCAATTTGTGATATATTAATGTCCAACATACATAGTGGTTATTTTTTTATAAAATAAGTTTTGACGTTTTTAACACCTTTATGATATACTATGGTGCACAAATCATTTTCCAATATATATATATATATTGAAAAAATAAATATTTTCTGTATATCATGTGTATTATAATGTATAAATATTTCGATGTATTTTTTTTAAAGAGAGCTATTAGTTTTAATGTATTTTAATAGCATATGCTGAGCGTTGAGAAATAACACTTAAATGTAAGATTTTTAAGATGAAACGATTGTATCCTTTGTCCATAGACTGAAAACTACACGTAATTAACAGTGGTAGAAACTATAAGATTTATAAAGTGTGGTATTTTACTAAATTATTGTTTTTATTTATTATTATTTGATATAACTTATGAGTTAAAATAAACAATAATTGAAAAAATATTTAGGAATAGATTTTTATTAAGCATAATTGCTTTTACAGTAGATAAGCTCAAGTTATATGTTTATAAAATAAGCGAAAATTAGGCATGTTGATAATGAATAATTAACTTCCCGAAGGGATAATTTGTGTTAGATTAATATTAAGCTTACATTTAAAATTCATTTTGGCTAAGTAACCTAAGCAATATGTATGTATAATGTTAATTTAACGGGAATTTTAATATGGCAAATAATGAAGCAATAATAATATGAGATTAATTTGCACTGTCATATACATATGTATATCAAATTTTAGGTCACGCGTTACCATTATGAATCCTGATATCTTCTTCAAATACAATCTTTCAAAATATCTTTGACTATGGCAGCAATATCAATATCGTTACTGATATTTTCCTGGCCTAGTAACATGACAATCTCTTCCAAATACATCATTAATAAATACGGCACATTCTTGTAATTTTCCGTCATTATCGCCTTGTACATTTCTGTTTGGATCTCTGATACATTTAAAAATTCATTAACATCGATTCCATATAATTCCAAGGCAACATTTTCAAAGTTTTCAATAATATTCATCGATATCACTTGGGCTTCGAAAGGATCAATTTCTGTTCTTGGGTTCATATATCGTTGTTTTGTGAATTTTCTAGTAATAATATCAAGAAAAAGAAGGTTGCTGTTAAGTTGCAAGTTACTTCTATCTATTCTTGTAATATTGCTGGATGTACTATCAAAACCGTTATTACTAGTAAGACGTGGAACTTCAAATATATCAGTAAATTCTGGATGTATAAGGGGTTTGGTAAGGTTTTGCACAAAAGTAGTCACAGCATTTATAGGACGGTGGAAAAGTGACAATATGCCGTAACGGCGGCTTATATTTTGATTCAGTGCGTTTTCCGATAGTTTTTCATAACTATCCAAATCTTTGTCATAAACATTTATTATAGAACGTTTTTTTGGATTTTTATTTGTTTTAGTAAAATTAGCGTGCTGTTCAGGTTTAGATACCGTATAATATCCTTCAAAAACGTTTTGCAATTTTTCCAGTTTCTTATACCACGTAGGATCGTTCAGTTTAATCTTTGTATTTTCTTTAACTATTTTGTTATATTCTGATTTAGGCACAAGATCCATTTTGTTACTCATTTTATAGCTGAACATAATTTCACTATTTATCAAATTTTTTCTTGTAACCTTTGAAAATTTCGGAGGAGTTTCAAAATAACTACGGAGGGCTTTAACTTCAGCACTTTGTGAAGGATCGTTTTTTATCCAGTTGCTTTCCATATTTTCGGTATATTTTGCTAAGCCTTGATCCTTATTGAGTACTTTTCCAATAGCATTATTTTGAACTTCTTTGATTTTATATTTTATATTTTCTAAGGTGTTCAACTCACGATCTATTTTGAATTTGGCTTCATTTATTTTATTATTTGTAACTTCAGGAGAATCATCATTTAAAATTACAAATTGTTGATCAACTTTAGCTAGTATCCTATTCTTTTCTTTCAAATCAATTGAAGAATCGAGGATTCTTCTCTTATTGTGCAGCATTTTGTTTATTTCATTTTGGTTTGAAGAAATTGCATTATCAAAACTTGAGCTTACAGCACCTTCAACATTCTTTAAATCCACAAATCCTTGTTTTGTAATTATCTCTCGAAGTACATCCAAATTTTTTATTTTATTTTGCGTTATATCTGTTTGATAGTTAGGTAGTACGGAATCAACACCCAATGCTTCATTTATTTTTGGAATTATATCAGTATCAAATATTTGAATGTTTTCTCTTTTGAGATCGTGCTGCGTGGTTTCTATTGCCTTATGCAATAAATTATTAACTGCTTGGTTATTACTAAGCTTTATATTAGTGGAATAATCTCCTTGATTTTTGTTATAATTGATAAATTCGGCGTTTGATTTCTTTTTATCAGTCCACATAACGAGATCGGGGCCATTATCTGTTTTTATAACTACCGTATGTAGATTTCCAGTTTTATAGACTGCAATATCGGCTCCGGTGAGATGAGTTTGATAATTAGTATTTACATCTTTATATATGTCCACAGCATGATTTGCAATATCGTTACTTTGTCTAATTACTGATTCCCGGTATTGTATCTGTCCTATATGTTTCGCCATTCGTCCTGCGTCGATATAATCATTACTTGATGTCAATCCATTAATGATACCATCGTAAGTGGAAACATCTTTAAAATCCCACTTTCCATCTGTTGCGGCGTCCCCATGCAAATACAC